AAACGGCATCAATCCCTTGGAAGAGACCAGGCAGGCCAGAACAACGGCAAGTCCTGCTTCTCACAAAGAGGAGGAAATGGTGAGGGAGGCAGTCAGTGGGATGTAGCAGATAGAGGACAGCAACGGCGGAAGGGACAACTCCCTACTCTCGCCTAACTCCAAGCCATCTTCGCCCTGTTGTCATAGCACTTTACAACGAACGCCGCTGCGCAAGTCGGATGGCTGAGTTCCGATGCCTTCTGGGGGCTGTAGTCCAGAGTGGCCGAAGAGGATGGAAGGTGGAAGACTTTTTCTGCTTGGGCCTGGCTGGAATCAGATTTCTAAAGGAGGGGCCTGGAGTGAACCAATCCCTGATCCTCATTAGCACAGAGATAATTAATACCATTCCCTTTCCGGTCCTTGGACAGTTCCCCCTATTAGGCTCCGAGGAATACCCGCCTCCTGCCTTGGCTGTGGACGCAGGCCACGCCCCTCCCACGCCTACCCGTCCCGCGTGTCAGGCGCAGGATGGAGCTTCCCTCGGGGGCGGGGCTTGCGCCGGAGGGGCGGAGCGTCCGGGCTTTTCCGCGGGCTCCCGCGTCCCAGATTCCCAGAGCAGTTATTTTCCCCGCTCCCAGGCGCAAGAAGCCCCGTATGTGAACCAGGCGGTGGTGGCCAGGGTGGCCGCAGTAGCGAGCGCCAGTGTGGGAGCCCCGGTGGCGGGGGTGGTGTTGGCCCAGTATACATTCACCTTGAAGAGGAAGACGTGGGGAAGACAAACATCGTGGAGGCGGTGGAGCATTTAAACAATTTCCAGGTGCTTATTTTTTCCTAGGAGAAACAGTGCTGCCATGAGGTTATTTATACGTGGCTCCTGATGTGCCGCAGCTCTCTTTAGCATATACCTTAGAGTGGATTACCTGGTATATAGATATGGAAATGTTCAACTTTACAATTGAACACAATAATAAGGCCAGTGTTTTTTTCATCTTTGCTTTCAAAAGCAAAGGGGTGCCCCTAGAATAAAAAGATTTTTTTAAATAATGGAATAAAATACTGTATGAAAATAATCATGTGAAAATTACCTTGAGGGCGCCTGGGTGGCTCAGTTGGTTAAGCAGCTGACTCTAGATTTCAGCTCAGGTCTTGATCTCAGTATCATGAATGAGTTCAGGTTGTTGGCCTCTGCGCTGGGCATGGAACCTACTTAAAAAGAAAAAAAATTATCTTGAACTGCTAATTTATATTTCAACCCGCTAAGATATGTAACTGCTTAATTAAAAAAAAAATACATATTCCCTGTGACAGGAGAAGCTTCTGAAAGCTTGATATCCAAATTCAACCTATTTCAGTGACAGCATGGGACAGTGCGAAGAATAGTATTTGCTGGGAAACCTAAGGTAATTTATCATTTCTGGCATGAAAAGTTTATTTTCAACAGCTGGTGCCATATTCCTCTTAATGAGTGTGATAGTTTACAAAAATAGCTGTAGTTTTTTTTTTTTTTTCCATCTTTGTGTGCCCATTTCTTTACAATGTCATTTTGCAGCTCTACCCTTAAATCTGAATTTGACCTGCTTGGTCAATGAAACAGTAAATATGATGCAAGCAAAGCTTCAAAAACTGCTTCTCCCTCTCGTGCTTCTCTTGAAAATACTGCAACCACTTCTATGTGAATGACCTGTAGAAGCTTGCTGAATGATGAGAAACATGCTGTCAGGTCATTTCCACTGCCCCTCTAGACACATGAGTGAGGTCATTTTAGACCAACGAAACCCAGCAGAGCCACGCCACACCAAAGCAGAACTGCCCACCCAACAAATGTTATTTCTTTTAAACCTCATGCATATAAGACAAAGGACTATACCCATCATCAAGGCCAATTATTTATTGAGCCAGGCACACAATAAATATATGTGCCAGGCACTATATGAAGCATGTTGGATCATTTAACATTCAGAACACAGCTGTCAATTATTTTTTGCTTTAACTCATAGGACAAAATTAATTTGGAAAGATAATATCTAACTTATTTGCGTGTGATGCCCTCTGTATTACTACTTTCTATTCTTTCCTTTTTTATTTCATAGTTTACAATGTTGCTGTTGATTTCACAATTCCCTCAGTTGATTTCACAATCCTCTAATGACTCTTGACCCAAAATTTGAACAACATGAACGTAGCATTTATCAGTCCAAATAAATATTTCTAGAATGAATGAATGTCATGAAGACAGATTTGGCACATTAACAGCTGCAGAATATGTGTAGCATCACATAGTGTGGAACCATATGGTAGCTAGAGAAATGTTTAAAATTCAAATATGATAATGACTTCTTCCAACTTTATTTTCTTCATTACCTTCCTACCACACTTACTTTGAGATCCAGGTCCTTCACAGATCCTGGACAATCTTGTCCCGTCTGCCTCTCCAGCCTCATTTCGTGGCTCTTCTCCTTGCTCCCCAGGCTCCAGCCCTACATTGACCTTCTCTCTCATTTCTTCTGTACATGAAGCCCCTTTTCCACAGGATGCTCTGCCTCTTGGGATACTTTCCTTTGCTCCGCCAGCTCCTACTCATTCTTTAAGCCTCTGCTTATATTTCCCTTCCCCCTGGGAAGGCTTCCTGGACCACCACTAGAATAGGTACCCCCATATATCTTATAGAACTGATCATAACTGAAATTTTAATATATGGGTAATTGTCAGTTCAACATTTTTCTTATATAAGCTCCACAAAGGTAGAGACTGGTTTCTCCCCTGCACTCAAAACATATTCACATAGCAGGTCTAATTCAGTGTTTGATGAATGAATAAATGAATGTTTTTGAAATTTTTATTAGCTCTTTCCTTCACCTTTATAACCTTACATCTTCTGGCTCTCCCCAGAGTTCAGACGACTCCATGATGCATACCAGAGATAAATCTGAGTGGCTCACACCAACCAAATGACTGGCATTGTTCCTTCTCTCCTGGGGTGGCTTTTCTCCAGGCCAAGCTTGGGTGCCTGATGCCTATGACCATTAGTGGGTGGGTTCTTGCTCAGGAGACTCCATGGGCCCTGATACTGTCAGGATCCAGGAAAGCTCACCTCAAACATGGACTAGACGTGCTCACATATGTGGAATTGTACCAGGAGCGGGGACTTGCACACAAGCTGGGACCAAGGACTTCACCATTCATAAACTGAGTTATTGAGTATCCTCACCTCTCACATGTGAGAACTGTAAGAGGTTGTTCTAAAGTGTAAGAAGGAAACCTTATGTTTCTAAATAATGAATTATACTACCATTATATTCTTTTAGTATCAGGACATCCAGGTTGATTTTTTTTTTTTAAGATTTTATTTATTTATTTGACAGAGACAGCAAGAGAGGGAACACAAGGAGGAGGAGTGGGAGAGGGAGAAGCAGGCTTCCCGCTGAGCAGAGAGCCCGATGTGGGGCTCCATCCCCGGACCCTGCTGAAGGCAGACGCTTAACAACTGAGCCACCCAGGTGCCCCCCAGGTTGATTTTAAACACTAACTTTGAGGGGCACATGGGTGGCTCAGTTGATTAGGCATCAGATATGATTTTGGCTTGGGTCATGATCCCAGGGTCCTGGGATGGAGCTCCTCATGAGTGGGGAGTCTGCTTCTGCCTCTCGCTTTCCCTCTGGTCCTACACCCACCTCCACCCCCCTGCTCATGCTGTCTCTCTTGTTTTCAAATAAATAAATAAAAATCTTAAAAAAAAAAAAACTAACTTTGCAATCAAACATTGTTTCTGACAGAGTTCTTTAGTCACAGTTAACAGAATCCATTCTAGCTGGTTAAACAAAAACTAGTTTCAAGGAAATCAGGTAGTTCATCAACCTTTTGGAGACACAGAAAACCAGACTTGAACACCTCACAGCCAGGGTATTTATGGGGCAGTTACTGGTTCAGGTAACTTGCATCAACTGCTAGATTGGTTTATGCACCAGTTCTCCCCCCAGGGGGAGAACCTGATTTCCAAGCTCTGGGGCCTATCAGTGTAATACTGTGTTTCTGTTCACAGACCTTGTGCATTCCTTCATTGGGATTTTCTCTAATAAATATGAAGGAGCTCCTCATTTATTTTAAGTATTAACCATATTGAATGGCACATTTGAGAGGAATAGTCCCTGTGCTGTTACTTTTACTTCGTTTGTGGTTTCTTCCATTATGTTAAAGCTAAAACAGTGATCATAACTTCACATACCAGATAGAGTTACAAAATGCAACCTAGTTAAGCACTTTAACAATTCGCGGCCTGGCTCCACGACTTCTACTTCTGCATCCTTGGGCATGTTATTTGACTCTCTCCGCCTCCTTCTTATGTATAAAATAAGGGTAATACATAGGGGTAATAACAGCACTTAGTAATTTTTTAAAGATTAAATCAACTTTTCTTACGGGCTTAGCTCAATGACGAGCACATAAAAAGCGCTCAGTGTCTATAGCTTTCAGTCTAGCACCCAAACCTTGTCTAGATTCACGGCAGGCTGACTACGTTTTAACGACGCTCTGGAAAATCAGAGAATTTCTCTGGGGTGTCTTGCTTCCTTCAAAGCTGGGTGAATCCCAGCACCAAGTAGCAGCAGCCCGCGTCTAGCCATCGGGGCCACAAAGCCGCCGCGCACGGGTCCCCGGGCCTCCCAGGGGAGGGGCACGCGGGGCGGGGGCGCTCCCCGGCTGTCCCGCAGGCCTCCCCCTCCCCCACCCCCGCCCCGCTCGCGGCCGCCGCCAGGGGCGCGCTCCGATCCCGGCCGGCCTGGCGGCGGGGCCACCGCGCTCCCAGCGCGGACTTGGGGCCACGACGCGGGAGGCGGCGGGGAGGCCTGGCGGGAGGCGGGGACCAGGAGGCCTCGGCGGGGACAGCGGGCCGGGCCTGGCCCGGGCGGGCGGCGGGAGGGGGCGCTGCGGGGCCGACCGGCCGCGGCGCGGAGGAAGTGCCGTCTTCCCGCCGCCTCAGCTGCCTCAGGCACGCCGCGGGGGCCGCCTCAGCCGCGCGGGCCGCGATGTCTTCCCGGCCCGGGCGCGACGACGCGGGGGCCGGGGGCGTGCGGAGGCCGCGGGAGCCGGCCGAGCAGGAGCTGCAGCGGCGCCGGGAGCAGAAGCGGCGGCGGCACGACGCGCAGCAGCTGCAGCAGCTCAAGCACCTGGAGTCCTTGTGAGTCCGCGCCGCTCCCGCCTCTCCGCCAGGCGCGGGGTCCGGGTGGGCCGGCGCCGCGCCCCGGCGCGGGAGGCTGGGTCCCCGGGGACCCGTGCGGCGCTGGCACCCGGACTTCCAGTCTCGCCTCCGCGGGGAGGGAAGGGCCGTTGCTCCGGCGCGCCGAGCGGCCTGGGCCGGCCGGGAAGCTCGGGCTTTATTCCCCCGCCCGAGGTCGGCGTGCGGCCGGGGCTCTGCTTAGCGCTGAGGACCGTGCGGCACTTAGTAGGCGCTCGGTGGGGACTTGGGGACTGAACACGCGGCAGGTGCAGTGAGCGCCGCCGTCCTGCCCTTTCAGGGTTGTCAGTTGACAGGGCCCCCCGGGAGCCGGATAAAACCCCCGATCTCTTCATCCGCTGCTAGGAAGGGAAGAGAACACGCCGTCCTCTACCGTTAGTGCGGTGGGGAGGAGAGGGCTGGAGAATGGGGTGAGGGACTTGTCCCTAAAGATCCCAAAGGTGGAAGAGAGTGGAGACTTGTTCTCTTTAGGCTTGAGGGGCGGTGGTGGTGGTGGTGGTGGTGGTTTACCAGCATGAAGGGTGGGGGCTACAAAGAGGCCAGTTCCGGCTCAACAAAAAGACTTCGGACCAGAGTCTCCTGTGGTTGCTGGTCAGCATGGCCTGACTTAAAGGGGCACCGTGCGCCCCCAGCTCCAGCGGGTTCGGGGAGAGAGCCCAGAACCCGCGGGAGGAGGGCGGGTTGTAAAGGAGATTGCAACATCAGGTGGGAGGTGGACCTTCCAGTTCTTTTCTGTGATTCTGTCTTTCTGTAATTAGCTTTAGAAGGCAAACTTGTAAGTTTGGTGCTCACGGAGTTCTTCAATACATACTTCGTTTCTATTTCAGGCACTTGCATTACCTAAGCTAAGATGATCATGTAAGGAAACGTCTTCAAAGGATTCAGATTCTTTATAATTAACCTGGGAGCTTTGACACAAAATGCATTGCACTGTTGGAGGCTGGCCTGCTCCTTTCAGTGTGACCCTTGAGCTGAATTTCAACTCAGTAAGGCAGTCGTTTCAGGATATAGGTGCTGCATTGCTAGCACCCACAGTCCTGGCCCCTTTGGGCCCTCTGTGGCCCTGTCCTGTGCAATGCAGATGTTCAAATATCTTTCCCTAGATAAGCCTGAGCTTCGCAAAGCCCAGTCTGACCCTCAGTATCTTTAACTGTGGGGTACCAGATAGTGGTTAACACTATACCTTTATTTTGTAGCTCATAAAGCACTCATAGACATCAGAGAGATTATAACCTCCTTTTGCAGATGAGGAAATGCAGGTTCAGCAGTTAAGTACCCTGATCAAGGATACATTGACCTGTAAACTAGCAAAACTAAAGAGGAACCCAGGTGTCTGATTCCCAAACCAGTTGGATTTTCCACTTCAGGGATTTAAACTTTCTGGGCTGCTGACATATTTGGTTTGGCTAATTCAGGGACTTGTTTGCTTTTAAATCAGAATTTTTATTTTTAGAGTAATACTTTAAACATCAAATAGTACTAAGAGACTAATTTCAAAAAATAGTGGTTCACATCCCTGTTCTATAGTCACCCACACACTGCCTGCAACCCTCCCTCCAACCAAGTTTACAATAAGGAAACTGTTTTTTCTTCTGGGACTTAACTACTTATTCCCAATTATATGCTTGTGCTGCTTTTTTAGATTGAACAATACACATTACTTATAAACCTCATGTCACATACATGAGGGTTTAGTTCCCTTTCCCTACCCTTCTTGCATCCATCCTTCCAATATAGCTCCATGGTAATTTTTGTTAAATCAACAGTGGGTATTAGCATTATTATACCTATTCAGTATTGTTCACTTTTGAGCCAAAGGGTGTTCTGTGATTTGTTTTGCTTTCTAGCACAATTGTTGTTTTTCATCTAGTTAATAAGCACCTCAATTTTTTTCATTTGCTTGAATTTACTATTAACTGCTGCTAATTTTATCTGAAAGACTCCAAAAGCTGAGAGTACTTTTTCTACTTGTTCCTACATATCAGACAGTCTATCAATTTGTTTGTTTTTAAAACCAAAAATCTTCCTTCTGTTCCCCAGTACACTCTGGTTACTTTCTAGACCTGGTGTACAGCTGCCTTCATCACTCTTCTGTCTTGGATCCCATTTCTGGACCCTGTGTCTTGTCTTTCTCTCTTTATCTCATTTTGTTTAAGTATATTATGTAACTTCCTATAAAAAGTGCATTGGGGTGGGGTCCCTGGGTGGCTCAGTTGGTTAAGTGTCTGCCTTCGGCTCAGGTCATGATCCTGGGGTCCTGGGATCAAGTCCCACATTGGGCTCCTTGCTTGGCGGGGAGCTTGCTTCTCCCTCTGCTTGCTGCTCCCCCTGAAATCAAGAGTCGGTTGCTTAACCAACTGAGCCACCCAGCTGCCCCTTGCAGTTTCATGATGTGAACTTTTTCTCACCAGATTTCAGATTTTTTTTTAATTTTCTCAATCCTTTGTGGGTATTTAATATTCATATATGATCTGTGTTTTAATTTCCTTCCCTCCATTTTGTTTTTTCGTACTCTTAGACTTCTGTGATCCTCTTTTCATTCTACTTTCTAAAAGACTTATCTTCCAGTCTTTCCACCATTGCACAAAAATTAAGTTTTAATTTTTAACTTTGAAGAGCTTCTTGGCCTGAGAATTCTTTTTTTCATAACATCATCGTTTCCTCAATAACAAATCTGTCATCTTTGAGGATACTCATTTTTTTTTATTTGCTTTCTTCTTTGTTGTCTGTTTCTTCTTTGCCTTTTCTTGTGATTTCTTTCACTTAGAGGTTTTTTCCTAATGTGCAGGGATCCTTGGATCTTCCCCATTAAGAGTGAGGCATTATAAAGCTATTTTGAAGGGAGCAGTTGGGAGAGAGAGAATGCAAAGGTGCTGGTTTATTGACTGGTAAGTCTCACTGTAGGGATATCAGACTGCAGTGAAAAGGAAGGCAAATAACTAAGTTGTCCAGCCAGCCATGTAAAATGGGAAGCCCCATAGTGGTTTTTCACAAATTGAATTCAAATTCTTTTATCCCCTGGTTGCCCTCGTTAGGTCCCCTCACACTCCTCTGGTCAGTTTCTTATACTTGACCTTACCTTTTCTTACCTTTCGACCATACCTGCCAGGACCCCAGAGGCATCTGAATCTTTCACCCTGTGCTCTAACCATGTTCCAACCCTATTCAAGTGTCCCTTGTCTGCTGGACATAACAGAATGGAGATTCTGTATATATGTGGCATTTTCATCTCTGCCTTCCACCCCATAGGAGCAAGCTGTGGGAACAACTGGAATTGACTATGCTTACACAAAGGACTCTTCCAAAAAAAATCCTATGCCAGCACTCAGAAATACAAGAGTATTTTTAAGCACTTGGCAAAATAAAGATTTCTTTCCCCATGCCCAGTTGGGAAGATAAGTTTTTCCTCTCTTATCTAAATTTAGTCTTCATACTGCTCAGAGAAACTTATTACAATGTGAACGATATAATAGCAAGGCTTCACAGATGGTACAAAGTAATGGGCCTCCACTAACTTTTTTTTTTTTAATTCTAAGGATTAACTACAAAAAGTGCACTCTTCTCAACTGTCACAGCGCAGAAGCCAACTACACAATAAACACACTTCCATTCTAGGTCTGGTTGGGTTTTGTTTGTTTAAGTAATCTCTACACCCAGTGTGGGGCTCGAACTCACAACCCTGAGATCAAGAGTCACATACTCTACCTCCTGAGCCAGCCAGGCACCCCCCAGATATGTTATATTTAATAGTTAAATAATTTTAATAGTTAGCTATTACTTTAGACTTTGAGAAATATCTTTTTTAACATGTTACATAAACTAAAGAATTGTCAGGCCCTCAGAAAAAACACCAACCATGTTCCTTTAAATTTGGAGAAACAGTTGTAAAATGGACTTTTTAGGAAAGTCCATTGCTATTAATAACAGATTTCAAAATGTGTAGTCAGGGGGCACCTGGGTGGCTCAGTCGGTTAAGCGGCTGCCTTCGGCTCAGGTCATGATCCTGGGGTCCTGGGATCGAGCCCCACATCCGGCTCCCTGCTCAGCGGAGAGCTTGCTTCTCCCTCTCCCTCTGCCTGCCACTCTGCCTACTTGTGCCCTCTCTCTATCTCTCTGTCAAATAAATAAAATCTTTAAAAAAAAAATGTGTAGTCAGTTCTCATCACATTCCTTCTCCACTTAGGCAAAAGCTTTTACATATTTTTCAGGAAGTGGATTTTAGTTTAGCCATATATTATTTGTACTCCTCCTGTGGCAAAAGAAAGTATTGTTGGATTATTGGGTATTTATGAAGATGTTACCTCCTCCCTTCCAAGCTCCCTTAAGTCCCAATCCATAAAGGATAGCATTAATGTTTCTAATGAATGGCTACTGGTGGGCTGTATCACCTTCTTAATATAGGCAAATTTCCATTATTCTTGCTAAGAGAGGCCTAGGCATTTGGCATGCCATGGCTTTCTACCGGAAAATAGTGGAAGTATTTGCTCTGGAAATATATCTAAAAAGTTAATTCTGTTTATACCCAAAACAACTTCAGGGACTAAGTCCTCCTCTGTCCCTTTAGAAAAACTCTGCATTAATGATGGTGAGGATGAGAGTGGAGAAGCCTCCATCACCATCCTTATTTGGAAGCATCCAGAGATGAAGCCAAGTGGAAGTTTTCTTTTCTGTAACGATTCATGGCATTTCTCATCCTTCCTCTGCTAGAAAGGAAAAAACACTCCTGTTTTTCTTTTCTACACTCATACTACACTCAGAGCACTACTCTAACTGTGTGGGACTTTTCCAACACCACGAAGAAATTCTCCTATTCTCAGACGACACCAAGTACATGTCTTACAGATCTAATTCTGACATTGTCCACCTGGAGTCAGCATCGGAATCCACAGGTTAAGGGCTCAGTTTCACAGGACTGCCCCTCTCCACATGCTTTAGATGTGTCCCAAGGCCGAGTTGTTACCAACCTATTGTCTGTACAGCAGAGGTTTCCCCAGCACCACCCTCCTCTGGTTTGGTTAATTTGCTAGAGCAGCTCATAGAACTCAGGAAAACATTTTATTTACTTGATTACTGATTTATTGTAAAAGGTTATAGCTCAGGAACAGCCAGATGGAACAGATACATAGGGTAAGATGTATGGAAAAGGGCATGGAGCTTCCATGTCCTCTCCAGATACACCACACCTCCACGTGTTCAACCTTGAAGGTCTCTGAAATCCATTTTTGGGTTTTTGTTTTTTGTTTTGTTTTTTTAAGATTTTATTTATTTGACAGATCAAGAAAGAAAGAGAGCACAAGCAGAGGGAGCAGAGGAGGGAGAAGCATGCTCCCCACTGAGCAAGGAGCCTGATGTGGGATTCGATCCCAGGACCTTGGGATCATGACTGAAGCCAAAGGCAGTCACTTAACCAACTGAGCCACCCAGGCGCCCCAGTTTTTTGTTGGGTTTTTTTTTTAAGATTTTATTTATTTGACAGATCAAGAAAGAAAGAGAGCACAAGCAGAGGGAGCAGAGGAGGGAGAAGCATGCTCCCCACTGAGCAAGGAGCCTGATGTGGGATTCGATCCCAGGACCTTGGGATCATGACCGAAGCCAAAAGCAGACACTTAACCAACTAAGCCACCCAGGCGCCCTGGGGTTTGTTTTTGTTTTTGTTTTTGTTTTATAGAGGCTTCATTACATAGGCATGATTGATTAATCAGTGGCCATTGGTGATTAATTCAATCTCCCTGGAGGTACGGCTGAAAGTTCCAACCCTCTAATCACAGAATTGGTTCCCCTGGCAACCAGTCCTCATCTTTAGGAGCTTTGCAAAAGTGATCTCATTAACATAAACAGTTTGGTTGAAAGGGGCTTGTTATGAATAACAAACTTTTCACCTTTATAGCTCTGGGCTTATTTCAGGAACTGGGAACAAAACTATTACAAGAAAAGATGCTCCTATGGCCTTTATATAGGAAATTACAAGGTTTTAAGAGCTGAGTGTCAGAACAGTGAAGACCAAATACATATTTCTTACTATAAGTTGCAATATCACATCCACTAAAGTTGTTTTCTTTCACATCTTAAGAGAAGGGCCAAAGGAAAGGCATGCCACTTTTCCCTTGGTCAATTCTCCCTAACCCCTGTAACCTCCAATATTTAATCTGTTCTGAAGGGTCTTTAAAGCATAAGAAGAGGGTCAGGATAAAGAAAACGTTAAATCATTAAGTGTTTCTATACTTTGCAACCGTTCTGAAGTATTAAAATGAGTCCTTCCCTGGAGGTTTACAAGGTTAAGGCACAGATCTGAGCTAAAATGCTAATGTATTTCTCCTTATAGAAGAAGAGGACAAATTCCTTTAAGAGTTTGAGACACTCTTTGAGTACACAGACACCCAGGCTCAGAATTTGTTTCCTGTCTCTCAGGCTTTTGGGTCTTTCTCAGTTCAGTCCCTGGCTAGAAATAAGGAGGGCCTGGCCGGTCTGGTGCCTGGGTGCTGCTGAGCACAGACAGGGGATGTTTTCTGCTTTAACAAAGTGATTCTGGTCTGCAAAACAGATGATGGAGGTTTATCCTTGCTAAAATTCGTGAGTAAAAACCCTGTAGCTTTGTTTCCCATTAACTTGGTGAATGTCAGGGCCTGGCTCAGATGTTGACTCCTAGCTTGACATTTTCCCTCACAGACTCCTTAGAATTATCTGCCACCACATGAATGTTCCCAGCATCAACAACCAAATGTGTATGCATTTAATATCTGCACACACTCAATCCAACCCCTGCCTCAGAGAGGGCATGAGGTCATTGTCCTTGTTACTACCTCCCTCTAGCCTCATAGTATTTTGCTTTAGGCTGAGAAGGGCATTGTCAAAACAGAGGGAAGTATGGAATATAAATTTTATTGCAATAAATAAAAAATGGATAATTGAGTAATGTGGGGGGAAAATTTTAGAGAAAACTGGATTTAGAACAGTATTTGTGCCCAAATCAAATTGTACTCAAGCTCTGAATTTAAAGTGTTCCTGGAGTCTTCTGTTTTCTAGTGACATAGTGCTAGAATAATTACTGGATTCAGCTAGACATGTACTGACAGTCATGTACAAGTGAGCACATGGGCTCTGGCTGTGCACCCTTGCACAATTTATTTAACCCATGAATAGTTATTAATACAAGAAATGCATTGCTGACTTAGAACAGTGGTTGCAGCTCAATGAAAGAACTCTAGATGTCACAAGATCTGGGTGATTGTCCCAATTCAGCCTCTTAATTGGTATAGCTTCCAGTTATTGGAATCAGTGAAGAAAAATGTTGGAACTGATGTTGGAGAAAAAAGACGTCAGAGTCCCTGGCCTGCCCTACCTTATTCTGAGATAGTAACATGATAATTTAACATCTATAATAAGGCATATTTTATGAGCCGCACAAGAGAATGGGGATAGACTTGGCTGAATGCTGATGTACCATGTACATGGGGGGAAAAAGCAGTGATTCCTGCAGCCAGATATGGAAAAGGAGTCTCTGAGTCCCATGGCCTAGAAAGGCAGTAAGCCCAGCTGGGGATGGTGTCTGTGGGAAGTCCACTGCCGGGTCTCTGCCCACCTCCACTTAGGAGCAGCCAGCAAATCCCTGTAAAGCTGCAGATCTATCAAAAGATGTGAAGACTGGCTTGGGATGGCCAGGCTTCTCTGCTGGTCCACATCTTGGCCTTTGTGATGCTAGTGCCCCAGTCCTGAGCGGCCTCAGGAGGTTGCTGAGAGCAATGACTTGCTTTCAACAGAAGGAGCAGAAGCCAGCATTGTGAAGTGCCTTTCCCAGAGATGGAAGAGATGTTTGCTGTGACATACTCACCAATGAGGAAATTGAGGCTCGGAAGGGTTAAATAACTTGTCCAAAGTACACAGCAGTGAGAATGAATCAGAAGTCAAACCAAATTTTTTATACCTGTGTTAAAGAACAAAAATTCAACCTAGTAGATTTGAAGATCTAATTGGCTTTATTAATTGATTCATGAATCCAGCAGCATCCCATCTAGCAAGTAGAGAGATGCTCTAAAAAGTTGCACAAAATGGAAGATTTCTATAAGGAGGGTAGTGAATGAAGTTATTTAGCAAAAGAAAAGAAAGGATTGTTCCAGGCCAGGTCACTTTCCCTTAGGAAGAGCAGGGAGTCTTATCTTGTAGATTACCTCAGCTTTTGAGGGAGGATCAAGGGGGCCCATATGACAGATTAGTTTTCTATGCCCTTAGTTGTCTCTTCTGATACTTAGCACTATACCTGGCATAATTGTTGTGTGGATACTGCTGTAATGAGTAAGTTCTCAAGTTGAACCTTCAGTATTTCCTGAGAATTAAGTTTAGTTTCCCCTATTCTACCTGTTCTTTCTTTTTTTAGGAGGAAAATCAAGTTGGATAAGAATAAGCAGAATTCCTGCTGAGTACAGAGCCCCACATGGGACTCAATCCCAGGACCCTGAGATCATGACCTGAGTCGAAATCAAGAGTCAGACACTTAACCCACTGAGCCCACCCCCCCCAGTGCCCCTCTGGCTTTCTCTTCTTCAACAATAAAATCCTTGTGCTTAGACACAAAGTTAATTATTACCAGTGAATTTCAGTTCTAGATCTCCACAAGATGTGGTGTAGCATCAGTTTATTTATATGGGATCTCTTACTGCTGGGCATATTTTATTAACTGCTTTAGACATAATGTAGTTTTGAGGTTTTACTAAAAATATCCTTTTTATTTTGGTCTGCAGTGCTCACTAAAATGTGTTACGTTCCTGTTAACATGATCGATGATGTTTTTTCTTTTCCTTTCTAGTTATGAAAAACCTCCTCCTGGGCTTATCAAGGTCAGTGTGAAGTTTGTGCCTTTGGTCATTCTCTTAGACATACTTGACTCAGTGCTCAGACTCAGTTACTTGTTATAAAAACCTGTTGCATAAGGTTTTGGACGCCCTTTTATGGTAACCCTGCTTCTCCCTGCAGATGCCAGTCAGTTCATACACTTTGGGCTTTCTGTGTCCAGCCTGTGCCTTTGTAGAAATGTAATCAGCCGTGTGTCTGTTCCCTAAGAGACGGTGGCAGCCCCACATGTTCATCAGCCATCGGTCCCCTTCTCCCGCCCTCTCTCTCTTGCTGTGGCTGCATCTTCTCACAGCTGTGCTCCTTCTCTGACTTGCTGCTGGTTTCCTGAGTATCATCAGCTCAGAGAACAGTAGTCTCTGAGGAGACTGGAAGGCCCTCTAGTCCAGCCCCTGGTGCAGGACACCCCCCTAACCACCCCCACTCCCCAGCCCCCCACCCCCGCTCCGCAACAGCACCTGGCCCTAGAGTCCAGTATCTGTGGGAGGGAGACTTAGAGGGCTCAGTGGAGGTCAGGACAACTTTCTGCTTGCTCACATTCAATGAAAAGAAAAGATTACAAAACCTTCTTTCATTATAAATGTAATATTCATGGGAGCTGAAAACAATCAGAAGGTAAAAAAAAATAATAACAACAACAATACCTTAATTGTGTAATGAAGTTATTTGGTGGTGAAAGCACACTTCATAAATACAGCAGGTGCGAGATTGTAAAACATGACAGTGGCCTCCGAGGGATAATAATCTTTTTTAATTTAACATGTTATTTTTATTTCAGGAAATCTTGTTTAATTCTATACTTTGCTTCATTCCACAAGGCTTTTAAGGTAGCAGAAAAGTTTGTGATCTGAATCTAATTTTTGTGATCTAGAATCAGGATTTGGAGCTCACAAATCATTCCTAAATGAACAATACTAGTAATATTTCTCTAAGAGTAGGTATGTCATTTTCATGATATGGTTCTTCTGGTACATTTATTTCTGGTTTTTCTGTCAGGTAGAATTTGTCTTTCTTTCTAGTACTTGAGAGGGTAACTTAGGAGGACATGGCGTGTCCAGCCCGTGAGAAAGGCAGGCAGGGCTGTGTCCTGAAGCAGGTGGGAAAGAATGCCGGTGCTTTTTTGCCATGTTGTGGACACGTTGTTTCCTTTTTTAGGAAGATGAGACTAAGCCAGAAGACTGTATACCAGATGTACCAGGCAACGAACATGCCAGGGAATTTCTGGCTCACGCACCAACGAAAGGACTCTGGATGCCACTGGGGAAAGAAGTCAAAGTTATGCAGTGTGAGCACGGGAGAGTTGCAAGTAACACTCCTCCATACACGCAAGTTATATACCACGATTTACAAAGCGCGTTTACTTCCTTTTTTTTTAATTTGTTCTCACCGCAGCCCTGTTAAGTCAAGGCACAATCTCTGTTTCATAGTTAAGAAAGCTGACCTGCATATGTTAGTGAGTGGTCCGAGGTAAGAGGTAGAGAGGAGCGTTGACTCCAGGGCTTCTGACTCCAAAGGCTGGGGTCATCCACAGGGACCATAGCTACCTTTGGAGTTCACTCTTCGGTAATATTGCAGTAACAAAAAGGATATTCTGTTGTAGAAATGCCGTGAGCGACAAGGAGTGCGTTGGAGGGCAGGTCCCTTTGGGTCTTGCATCATTCGCCCCCCATCAGTGGTGTTAAGGTTTCATCCATGTAACCTGGGAGGAGCCGTGGGTCTAGAACAGGGTGCTGTGCATGCACACCCCCACCCCACCCCGGCCGCAACACCTTCATCCAGCTTAAGTGGTATTTGGTATTTGAAGAAAGGGTACTGCTGCCTTTTAAAGACATTTGTACAAAGATTCTTCATGCATGTAATTAAAATAGCAGTTCCTAGTCCCTTTCCCCCCTTAGCCTCACCCTAAAGGTAACCATGTAAACCTCTCTTAAGAAGATTATTTGGGGGCACCTGGCTGGCTTAGTCGGAGGAGCATGCAACTCTTGATCTGGGGAGCATGAGTTGGAGCCCCACATGGGATGTAGAGATTACTTAAATAAAATTAAAAAAAAATTTTTTTTGAAGTTTATCTCCATGTATCTAAATAACAGGGTTATATTCCTTCCTCTTGATTTTTCAGGTTTCTTCATTGTCTGTTGACTTCTTACTCTAGAAGAGTTTCAGCTCTTTTTTTGTGCCTCAACCACACCTCATACATACTCTATCTCCCATTTTCTCAATACGTTATATCATAATTTAAATAAATCTTTTGTATATATTTAATTATGATTATTTTCAGAATTGAATCATAATAAACCAATTGCATTTCCTTTCATACATCCTGCATAATATTTTGTTTGCCCTGCAATTAATAGTTGTCTTTTTGTTGTTCTTGTTTTTGCTTTTTTCTTTGTACTGATTCTAATTCAGCTCCTTCAGATGCTTGAGGTATTCTATTAGTTTTTTCCTCCTAAAGAGAGTTGTTCCCCCTGCTATCACCCAGGGACCTTCCTTCACCATTCACTCTTTGGTTTCCCTTAACATCCTTCTTGTGTTTGATCTCCTATTTGCCGTATCTTGCATCTTTTTTGTTACATTCTCTTGCTGTGGTAGAGCACATTCTCTAATAGCTAAGAAGTGGGTTTATGGGAGATAAAATTTTTAAGACTGTATTCTTCTGGAAACATCTCTATATTTTTGGTTTGCTATTTAGTTAGAATTTTGTTAAAAACAAACTTCCTTCAGAATTTTGAAGGCACTGCTTCGTTGCCTTCTCATTTGTAGAACTGCTGTTGACAAGTCCAAAGCAATTAAGATTGTGGATGATTTGATGTAACCTGCTTTGTTGTTGCTGTCTGTTGTTTTTTATTCTTCTTTCCTAGAAGCTTATGAGATCATCTTATTCCCAGTGTTCTGAAATTTCACAAATTGTTTCATTGATTATTTCCTCCCCTCTGTGTTTGCAATTCTGTTATTCAGATGAAGGACTTCTTAGATTGATTTTCTAATTTCTGATCTTTTCTCTCCTGTTCTTGTTTTTTGCTTTCTAGAATATTCCATCAACATAGCTTCCAATCCTTCGATTTTTTATTTCAATTCCAAAAGCTTTTTTCTTTCATGATTTTTTAATTCTTTGTTGCAAAATGTTCTCTAAGGATGCTAATTTTTTCTTCTCCCTAATGTTTTTATTTCTTCCAAATTGTTTTCTATTTATTTTTTCACCTTTTTCATTTATGAAGAGGCTTTCAGGTGACTTAAAGAACAGAAATATATTATCTCACAGTTCTGGACGCTATCAGTCTGAAATCAGGGGGTGAGCAGGGTTGGCTTCTTCTGAGGACTGTGAGGGAAGAATCTGTCCCAAGCCTCTCCAAAGATCCTATCTCGCAATGAGATCACATTCTGAGGTACAAGCGGTTAGGACATTCAACATAATGACGGGACAGCGTAGAGGGGGCAACACTGTTCAAGCCATAACACACTATTTTAAAAAAATCACACTTTGATTTTTGCACAGGATTGCTTAGTAACTACTTGGCTTATTTTGAAAACCCAAGATTAAAGGATGCTTGAGGAAGCGATTGATTTCTGTTTTCTGGTGTCTTACATGGTTCATCCACTAATTGCATTTGCTTTGGAAATTGAAATCTAATGAAGAATATCTTTAGTATGATCTACTGATACTTTATCTTGATTAAGTAAAACTACATCATCTTACAGAAATATATCCCTTTTCTTTGTTTTTAGGTTGGCGTTGTAAACGGTATGGTCACCGAACAGGCGACAAAGAATGCCCTTTCTTTATCAAAGGCAACCAAAAGTTAGAACAGTTCAGAGTAGTAAGTAAAACCCAGAGTTTCAATTTACATTTGCCAGAGGTGGTGAATGTCAGTGACTCAGGCACTGACCAGTGAAATGGAGGTTAACATGAAATACATTCCCAGGGCCTTTTGGCCAAAGTATCTGGTATTAACTCTGTTAAACTAAATTTGTGTGACAGATTAGCTCATTAGTAAAAAATTAACTTTTATTAAAGTGTTATTTGCTTATGCCTTGGGAACACTGATTTCTTTTTCTGAAAGACATTGTTATATATTCAATCACTTTTTACTTATATTTTAAAAAATTTTGTTTCGGGCGCCTGGGTGGCTCAGTTGGTTGAGCAACTGCCTTCGGCTCAGGTCATGGTCCTGGAGTCCCGGAATCGAGTCCCGCATCGGGCTCCCTGCTCAGCGGGGAGTCTGCTTCTCCCTCTGACCCTCTTCCCTCTCGTGCTCGCTGTCTCTCATTCTCTCTCTCTCAAATAAATAAAATCTTTAAAAATAAATAAATAAATAAATAAAATAAATAAAAAATTTTGTTTCATAACTAAAATCAGCATTCTAGTTCCCAGTCTTTATGTAAAGATTAAATATCTATTATAAACTAGATATGTATGTATAAATGATATATCCTCTTTGCATGACAGTAAGATAGATGTCATTTCCCCACTTTATTTTCACAGCCACCTCCCAGGGTTGTTAACTCACCATTCAGTCACTGTTTCAGTCTGCTTAACTATGCTGTTATCAGAGAGATTGGCACTATCACCTTATATCAAACCGGGGTCCACAAACATTTGCCAGGACTTTAAGACATTTTAAAAATTGTACTTTCATTTAAAAAATTTGGAGAAAATAGGGGCACCTGGGTGGCTCAGTCGTTAAGCATCTGCCTTCAGCTCAGGTCATGATCCCAGGGTCCTGTGATTGAGACCCGCATCAGGCTCCCTGCTCAGCGGGGAGCCTGCTTCCCCCTTTCCCACTCCCCCTGCTTGTGTTCCCTCTCTAGCTGTCTCTCTCTCTCTGTCAAAATAAATAAAATCTTAAAAAAAAAAATGTGGAGAAAATATTCTGGATAAATCAATGCTACCTGGAATGGCAATTTTACAGTATCTAATTTACAGATAAATTGGTGATAACTCTCAAAAAAAATGAACAGATTCATGTATTTTTAATTCAGAAACCTAAATTCTAAGAACAGATCCCAAGGCTATAACAAAAATCAATATATACAAATTTTTATGAATATATAAGGAATTATTCAGAATTACATCTGTGACTGAAAATTAGACTAAAGAAAATACGAAACAACTTCAGTGGCCAGCATACCAGCATAAGGACTGTGACACAGAAGTCATATAGCTTTTAAGAATTATGTTTGGGAAAATGTTCATGAAAACATAAGTGAAAAAAAACAGAATTATGTATATAATGATTATAATATTTTGTAAATTATGAATAATGAGTGGAAGAACCACATTAAGATGTTAGCAGTAGATATCTCTGGCAGGTAAGACTATAAATATTTTTAACTTTTTTATCTTTAATATGTAAAATTTTTACTAAACATTTTTAAAGATAATTCACATACCATAAAATCCAGTCTATGTGTCGTCATATTCTTAGTAAGTACTTTTAAATTATACAAATATTTCAAGAATACATTTGCTTTATTTTAATAAAATTGACATGTTACAGTAAGGTTTTTCACAATTGATTTTTTAAGTCCAATACTGCCTCTCTCCAGAGCAAATATGCATTATGTAGCTTGATGAGGACACTTCCATGCTTCTTTCTGGGCACATACATATGTTTTTGTGCAACTATACTTGAGTCATTCTTACATACCATTTTCCAACTTGTTTTGTTTAATATCTCTTGATCATCTGTCCACACAGACCAAAGAGAATTACCTCAATATTTCTTACCTTGAGTAATATTTAATAATGATTCTGCCATGTTTGATATCCTTAAAAGGGCTATTCAAATTGTATAATAGGGAAATCTTTTTTTTTGTAGCTTCCGTGAGTTTGAAGTGATAGTGACCCTTAGCGAGGATTAGAACATGTTAAATATAAAATTACACCAAACAGGAAAAAAAAAAACTGGTTTCAGTGAAATATGGATTTAATTTTTATTTAACTGGTAGTCCATGGTTCCTAACTCAACCTTAACCTTTCTCATTCTCAAGGCACATGAAGATCCCATGTATGACATCATACGAGAGAATAAAAGACATGAAAAGGATGTAAGGTGAGATGGTCCTGGTGATAACGATACCCTTTTAAAGTCTGAAATTATATAAAGTTGGAAACACCCATTCCGGTATTAGATGAGTGGTCTGGTAACTATGGTACTTCAATTGTGAGCTATTTGGAAGGCAGGACTCATCACAAGAAAGGCCAGTGGGTGGGGAACGGGAGGCCAGCCTCATCCCACTTGGGTTAGCAGTGGGCTTGGTCCTGCCTGCTCATACCCTGATGGATGATTACTTAGTTTATCTTTAAGGATCTGAGCTATTATTAAAAGTTATCCTTAGACATGAATGAAGATAGGATGAAGAAAGTAGAGGGTTTGTTTTTCTCAAACTGGTTCCATGGAGTTCTAATTTTTAAGGAGGTAGATGACCTAGTATGAACTTGAGTGGTTGTGGGTGGTTGGGGAGGTGATGAAGGAGAGGCGGCATCTATTCGAAGTTACGTAGTAAGGACTGGAGAAACATGCAGAAATACTTTGGACAGTGAAAAGAATACAGAATGGCTTGTACACTGGGTACAGTCCTGTCAGAGACATGGGTGTGGACAAGAATAGGGAAAACATGCAGAAATAAAAATAAGTACTATCTTAAGTAAGGTGGTTATTCATGATGTTTTTTACCCTCACTGCTGCTGTTATGTCATTTTTATCTACCTTTTTTTTTTTTTTTTTGAGTTAAATATGGTTCTTTGGTTAATCTTCTATGTTTAGGATACAGCAGTTGAAACAGTTACTGGAGGATTCTACATCCGATGAGGATGGAAGCAGCTCCAGTTCCTCGGAATGTAAAGAGAAACACAAGAAAAAGAAAAAGAAAGAAAAGCATAAGAAAAGGAAGAAAGAAAAGAAGAAGAAGAAGAAACGAAAGCATAAGTCTTCCAAGTCAAATGAGAGTTCAGACTTGGACTGACAGCAACTTGACTTGTTCAACATTCTCTTCTCCCAAATAAGACACTGTGGCCAAAGACCAGAGGATGTGGAATCGGGGAGGACTAGGAGAGAGCCGCCTAGAGAGCAGGGTATTTGGTGTCACATGTGTGAATTCTCACCTGCCTTCCAGCAAAGATGTGACCCCAGGAGGGTGAGTTGTACTTTCCCAGGCACTAGCTCTGGACAGCGGCTGATGTCAGGCAGGAAAGCTTTGTTCAGTGTTGTCCTTCCGCTGACCCCTGCAGTTTGTGATTCCTTCGAGCTGCCTCTGCCAGGGTGGCCCAACCGAGGGAATGAGTCTCTGAGGAAGCTCCAGGTGCTGCTGCAGCCTTCCCCGCCCCAGGGCGCTACTTAGTTCCCAGAGACTTCAGATTTGACTTTTCTCTGTTGTCGAGGATAATAAAAGCTCATTATTTATTTTTTTAATGTATTTCTTTTTTATTTCTGAATAATACATGCATGTGCTCCAAATTTAAAAGGTACACAGGATTGAATCATGAAAATTCTTCCTTCTTTCTCCCCTAGCTGCCTATATCCCTTCCCCGGTGGCTACCGGTTTTACCAGGTTCTTGTTTGGTCTTCCAGAAATATTTTATATATCACAATAAATATAGGGGTGTTTTTTTGTTGTTTTTTTGTTTTTTTTTCCCCACAAATGCCATAAACACTCATATGAACATTGGGGTTTTTTTTAACAGCATAAAGCAGATTATTTTAATATCAAGTACATTTAGCATTGTTGCAGCAAAAGGTGTGTGTTTATAATCACCGGAGATGGTTTAATATAAAAGCAATGAAAAATCTTGTGTGGCAACACTGTATTTCACTTGCTTGGATCTTACCACCTGAGTCCCAAGATTTTTCCCAGAGTCATTGACTCAGAAAATTTTTAAGAATATAGGGGAGGGGCGCCTGGGTGGCTCAGTCATTAAACGTCTGCCTTCGGCTCAGGTCATGATCCCAGGGTCCTGGGATCGAGCCCCACATCGGGCTCCCTGCTCCGGCGGAAGCCTGCTTCTCCCTCTCCCACTCCCCCTGCTTGTGTTCCCTCTCTCACTGTGTCTCCTTCTGTCAAATAAATAAATAAAATCTTTAAAAAAAGAATATAGGGGAATTATTATATCGGGGAGCCTGCTTCCCCCTTTCCCACTCCCCCTGCTTGTGTTCCCTCTCTCACTGTGTCTCCTTCTGTCAAATAAATAAATAAAATCTTTAAAAAAAGAATATAGGGGAATTATTATATGGGGTCAGCTACCCACGTCCCAAAATACATCCCTCACTTCCTTCATCTTCCTGTTGGTTAAACACAGCCACCTGTGCTCCTCTGTCTTTGTGCCACAGCCCATCAGTGTGGTGCCTGCAGCTAAGCAAGAGTAAGTCTTGATCTTGACTGAACTATATAGAGAGAGATCATCCTCACAGGTGTCCCTCCCTCTTCAGCAGGGGTATTCCTGTTTTCAGGGCCCCAGTAACTCTTCTCCCATTTCTGTCCTCTTTCCCTGGGGGTTGAATTCCACCCCCCTTAAAGACCAGCCAATCCAGTCCCAGAATGGACCCATCTCCTACTCATCAATAAATGCTCCCAGTCTTGGCCTTGGAATAGTAGTACCTGAGTAACACATTGGTACAGAATGGAATCGGCAGGCCAAGGTTTGTGTTTTCTGAAAATTCTAAGGGCAGTTAATTCAGGTGTCCTTTACATTTATCCTAGGCATCCTAGGTCAGCATGCAAAACATGGGCCATTTGACCTCTCCTGTAGGTCTCAGTGTTTCCTACTCGTCTCATAACTCTTCTAGAAATTTCTTACTGTCCTTCTGGAATCTTATTCATGATAAAAGTATTCTTAAACAATATGAAAGTCTGCATCAATGATTCTCAAATCTTTGGGGCATCAGTATCAACTACAGTGCTTGTTAAAACAGAAATTCCTGTGCTCCCAGACTTCCAGAGTTTCTAATTCAGTAGGTTTGTGGTGAACCTGGGAATTTTCCTAACAAGTCCCCAAATGATGCTAACATTGTTGGTCTGAGAACCACACTTGGAGAACCACTGCTCTGTATCTTTAGCCTCTTAATGGAGCCTTCTTCCACTTCCTGCTTTAACTAGAAATCTGGCCATCTCCTCCAACCCTTGCAAGGTAACTACTGTCCCTACTCCCTCACTCTGGTTTTCTCTATCTTTTGTTTCTGGCTTGATCCGAGAGTCCCATTACTTAAGCCTGTTATCTCCCTTGACCTGTGGTCCTTTTGCCCTGCTTTCTCAGAAAAACCTCAAACCTCTTCTGCATCTATAACGAGACACTAGAGAAAAATCACAGGGTGCCTGTGTAGCTCAGTCAGTTGAGCAACGGACTCTTGGTTTCTGCTCAGGTCATGGTCTCAGGGTCATGAGATCAAGCCCCGCATTGGGCTCCATGCTCAGACGTGGAATCTGCTTGGGATTCTCTCTCCCTCTTCGTCTCCCTCTGCCCCTGCCCCCATTTGTATGTGCTCTCTCTAAAAAAAAAATAAAGGGGCGCCTGGGTGGCTCAGTTGGTTAAGCGACTGCCTTTGGCTCAGGTCATGATCCTGGAGTCCCAGGATCAAGTCCCGCATCGGGCTCCCTGCTCAGCAGGGAGTCTGCTTCTCCCTCTGCCCCTCCCCCATCTCATGTGCTCTCTCTCTCTCATTCTCTCTCTCAAATAAATAAAATCTGTATCCCTTTTTAAAAAATTAAAAATAAAATTAAAAAAAATAAAATCTTTAAAAGAAAAATCACACAGCCATATAGATTGGCATCCCCACAAATTCATCATCTCCAAACTCTACTGAGCCCATAAAGCTGAATAGCAAACCAAAAGTTTGTTAGTCACCTACTCAAACCTTCATTCTCATACATCTCCTCTCAAGTGGAGCATTTTCCACTCCTATTCAGGAAGTCATTACAAGACCTCAGACCTCCCTTCACCAAGACATCCTACCAATCGATCATCATAGTTGTCGTAGACAGAATTCTAAAATGGCCCCAAGATTTCCTGCTAATCTCGACTGTTAATATGATGAATTTTACTTTCGTGATTAGATTATTTTATAAGCACAAGGAAAGGGAAATTATCTGGATGTTTCTAATGAAATAGAGGAACTCAGATTCTAGGCCTGTGAAACATTCCTTGTGCCATTGCTGACTTAAAGATGACGGGGCTACAAGGTAAGGAATGCAGCAGACTCTTAATTACTACAGGAAGCCCTAATTAAGAGGCCCCTGGCCCACACCAGCAACGAAACAGGGAACTCTGTCCTACAGCCAAAGGGAACTTAATTTTGCAAACCTCAACGACCTTGGATGCAGAATCTTTAGCCAGAGCCTCCAGATAGGAGCCCAACCCTGCTGACATCTTGATTTGGGTCTTGTGGGACACTAAGCAGAAAACCCAATTGAGCCTGCCCAGATTTATGATCTATAGAACTGTAAGATAATAAATATTTTAAGCCATTAAGTTTGTGGTAATTTGTTGTGCAGAAACAGAAAACTAACAATGGTTTAATCAGGTTTCTCTTCCTGTCAGGCCAATCTCCACCTGTGCCCTGGACCCCAACTCTCAGCCAGCAGTGGAGGGCAGGGATTAAGAGCACTGGCTCTGGAGGATCCACACTGCCTGGTTTTGAAATCCAGCTGCACCATTCGTGAGCTATCAGATTGTGCAAGTTGCCTGACCTCTCTGTGCTGCCATTTCCTTGACAGATAATATTTACCTCATAGAATCATCGAGAATTAAGTGACTTGATAGTTGTAAAACATCTAGAACACAGTTTGGAACATTTCAATTGCTAAATGAATGTCAGTTGCTCCTGCATACTTATGCTATCATCATTATCTGTTCCTGCTTCCTCAGGGATCTTCCTCCTTTCATTATCCCCCTGCACTCTCTGTTGCCACTGGCATTTAAAAACTGTTTTGAAATTATAACAGTAGGGGCACCTGGCTGGCTGAGTCAGTAGAACATGCGACTCTTGATCCCAGGGTTGTGAGTTCAAGCCCCATGCTGGGCGTGGAGACTTCTTAAAAAAAATTTTTGTTTCAGAAAAATTTCAAAAGTAATACATGATCATAAAAAGTTCCCAATTCAGAGCCATTACAGAGTAAAAAGTGAAAGGAAAATCTACTTTAAATGGTTTTAAAGAGGCTTCAAGATCTTTTAAAAAATACATTACCAGTTTTTTAGTTTGACATAACTGAAAAACACTATGAATACTATTCTATGACTTCATCTCACTTACTCTACCTTGGCAGTCTCACTGCTTACTAACAAGCTTTAAATGGCCACAAAATCCTTGGTGGGAATGTGCTACTTACCCATTTAACCATTCTTCTTTGTGCAATTCAGTTGTTTCTTATTTATCCTTCTGTGGAATGGTGATTTATGAGAAATATGTATTTGGTTGTTGTGGAGGGAGAATGTTCTCTGCCCTTCAAGGTCCTTCTAGCTGGACTAAGAAGCAAACTGACATGAAACAATAACAAGAGAAAATCAAAGTTTCCTACGTATGAAATTCCAAAGACAGTGAAGCAATAAGACGCTTATATGAGCTAAGGACAGGAGTAGGGGACTGAGCAAGACATTACCAGGGAGAGGAGAGATGCTTGGAAAACAAAGTCTGCCCTATCACACAAATAAGTATCTTAGATAAAGAGGAATCTGTTAATAGTGCTCTTCCTGGTACAGGCAGGAAGTTGAGGGGGAGATAAAGAGCTTTTCCTGAATCGGCTGGGTTTTGATTGCTTTTAACTCAATTCATGTCAAAGTGACCCATTTGAAGCAGCCTGCCCTTGGTCCCGTACATGGTCATTCAGATGACCAAAATATATTTCTCGTATACATTTGGTCTTTATCCACAGTTTCTGGATCACATCTCCCCAAAACACTTGGAATTTCATGACTGAGGAGAGCAATGGGAGAATTTTTTCTTTCTTTTTTTTTTTTTTTAGTATTTGGTCTCCTGTTCCCGGTTCCTGAAATCACTTCAGAGCCATAAAGGCAAAATGGGTGTTTTGTTACTCATAACAAGCCCCTTCCCACCACAACTGGGTTTATGTTAATGAGGTGAATTTTGGAAAACACCTAAGGATATATAGCATCAGGAACTTTCAGTCCCACACCCCTGATTTCAGGGGAGGGTAAAAGGGCCAGAGAGGGAATGAATCACCAATAGGCAATCATGCCCATGTAATATGGAGCCTCTAGTATATTTGAGAGCTTCCAGAAGGGTGAACACACGGAAGTCCTGGAAGAGTGGCACACCAGGACAGGGCGTAGAAGCTCCTCACCCCTCCGCACATACAAGCATCTGTTATGCCTGGCTGTTCCTGAGTTACCACCTTTTATAATAAGCCAATAATCTAGTAAGTAAAATGTTTGTGTGTGTTCCCTGAGCTGCTCTAAGCAAATTAATCGAACCCAAAGCAGGGGGCATTGGAACATTCAATCTAGTCTATCAGAATCATAAGTGATAACCTGGGCTTTTGAGTGGCATTTGAAGAGGGGTGGGGCAATCCTGTAGGACTGAGCCCCTTACCTGTGGAATTTGATACTCTCTCCAGCTATTTAGTATCAGAATTAAGTTAAATTATAGGACACCCTGCTGGCATCCTGAGAATTCCCACACACACATTGGAATTGGTTCCAAAATCTTTCATCTTCCCACAAACACTGTAATGAAAACCTATGAGTATATATCTTAGTGTACATGTGTGCGTATTTCAAAAGAATAGCTCTTTAATAATGGAATTACATATTTTAATTTTCACATATACTACCAAATTGCCCTCCAAGAAAGTCTGTATCAATTTTCACAACCTCTTACCTTGTTTAAAGGGGTCCATTTCCCTGCCCAAGAGCAACTAATAACCTCAAGGTTCTTTCATCTCTTTAAAACAAAAAAAATCCTCCCTTGATCCCATATCTATCTAGCTCTTTCCTCTCCTTTATAGCAGGAATTTTGTTTTGTTTTGTTTTGGGTTTTTTTCTTTTAAGATTTTTTTTTTTTTTAAGATTTATTTTGGTGCAGGGAATGAGTTGGGGGCAGGGGGCAGAGGGAGAGAATCTTCAAGCAGACTCCCTGCCAAGCGTGGAGCCTGACTTGGGGCTCAATCCCACGAGTCACAAGATCATGACCTGAGCAGAAACCAAGCATCAGACACTCAACCCACTAAGCCACCCAGGAGCCCCTTAAAGATTTTATTTTTAAAGTAATCTCTACACCCAACATGGGGCTCAAATTTACAACCCCAAGATCAAGCACTGCATGTTCTACCCACTAAGCCAGTCAGACAACCCTACAGCAGGGTTTTTGAACCTTGGCCCTATTTATTTCAGGGGCTAAATCTTAGTTGTGGGGGTCTCTTCTGTGCATTGTAGGATATTCAGCATCATCCCTAGCCTCTACCCACTAGATGCCACTAGCACCACCATTCCTCACTTGTGACAACCAAAAATATCTACACACAGAGGAATAAAACTGGAACCTTATCTTATACCACACACAAAAATCAACTCAAAATGGAGTAAATATTTAAATATTAAGACCTGAGGGGCACCTGGCTGACTCAGCTGGTAGAGCATGTGACCCTTGATCTCAGGGTCTTGAGTTCAAGCCCCACATCGGTCGTAGAGTTTACTTAAAAAAATAATAGTAATAATAAAAAATAGATAATGTTAAGACCTGAAGCTATAAAACTCCTATAAGAAAACATAGGAAAAAGCTTCTTGACATTAGTCTTGACACTGAGGTCTTGGATATGACACCAACACATTAAACTAAGAAAGCTTTTGCACAGCAACGGAACAATCAAAATGAAAAGGCAACCTATGGAATGGGAGAAAATATTTACAAGCCATATCTCTGATAAAGGGTTATTATACAAAATATATAAAGAACTCCTACAACTCAATAGCAAGAAAACAAGCTGATTTTAAAAATAGACAAAGGAATTGAACAGACATTTCTCCAAAGAATAACTATCAAGTACATTAAAAAAAAACTGATGAGGGAAATGAAATGCAAATCAAAAGCACAATAAGTTATCATCTCATACTTGTTAGGATAGCTGTTATGAAAAAAAGATAAATGTTGGTGAGGATGTGATGAAAAGAGAACCCTTGTACACTGTTGGTGGCAATGTAAATAGGTGAAGTTGCTACCAAAAACAGTATGGCAGTTCCTCAAAAACTTAAAAATAGAATTACTTTTTTTTACTAACCCCAAGTCTAAGTATATATCCAAAGGTATTAGAATCAGGATCTTAAAGAGGTACTGCACTCCCATGTTTATTGCAGCATGATTCACAATAGCCAAGACATGCAGACAATGAAAGTGTCCATCAACAGATAAATGGGTAAACACAATGTAGTATTATTTAGCCATAAAAGAGAGGGAAGTCCTACAGTTTGTGACAACATGGATGAAAGAGGAGGACTTTATGCTCACTGAAATAAGCCAGACACAGAAGACAAATACTACATGACACCACATGAATCTAAAATAGTCAAACCCACAGAAACAAGAGGGTAGAATGGTGGTTCCCAGGGGCTAGGGTGAGGGGGACACAAGAAGGTATCAAAGAGTAAAACGTTTTACTTGTATAAGATAAATAAATCCTAGAAATTGACTTTATAGCATAGTGCCAACAATTAATAATACTATATCATATACTTACTATTTTATGAAGGAAGATCTTATGTCCTCTCTCTATATATAATTTTATATAGAGTTTTACATATATATAAATATAGTTTTATATATATATATACATATATATATATATATGGAGAGAGGGAGGGAAGGAAAGAGAGAGCATGCATGCATGCAGGAACAAATGTTTAAAGGTTTATGGCATAGATTGTGGGGAATATTTTCACAGGTATATGCTTATCTCCAGACTCATCAAGTTGTATACCAATGTGCAGCAATCATACCTCAATAAAATGGCTTAATAATAAGATAAATAAAATGTATGGAAACAGCCTCAGTTGGGAGTCACTGCTTGAGCAGTTTCTTGAAAGAATTACCTATACAGTTGACCCCTGACAGCATGGGTTTGAATTCTGTGGGTTCACTTATACGCAGATTTTTTTCAACAAATACAGTAAATGTATTTTCTCTTATGATTTTAACACATTTTCTTTAACTTAATTGTAAGAATACAGTATATAATACATACAACATATGAAATACGTGTTAACCAATTATGTTACCTGTTAAGGCTTCCAGTCAACAGTAGGCTATTAGAAATTTGGGGGTGGGGGAGTCAAGTTATACTTTTTGCACAGGGTGGCTTTCCTCTATGCCCACACAGAGCACTCTGTTCTCTCTTGCTCTTTTATAAGAACAGTTCTTTTGAATCAGGCACCCAGTCTTATGGTCTCATTTAACTTTAATTACTCCCTTAAAGTCCTATTCTCCAAATGTAGTGACACCAGGTGTTAGGACTTCAACATATGAAGCTTGGGACATAATTCAGTCCATAACATCTCTGGAAGTGCTCTTGCTAGGACGACCAGTATTGCCATTGTTATCAAATCTAACAAATCCTTTCTAGTTGTTTCTTTTTTTAGCATTTGACACTGTTG